AGCAACGTTTCGGCAGAATCTCATCTGCCATCATCAGGCTTCTGTATTGTGTTCGTCTGTGAGTCAGACTTTATATATATATATATATATATAATTTGTTTTCGTGTCGCCCTTAACAAATGTCTCATTTAGCAAACGAAACTGGAGGCTGTGTTGTGGTCATAAGTCACGGATTGCCTGAATTCTGGATTTTATCCTGTAAATTTGTATTTTTTATATTTCTGAGTGAACGGAGGATGATCAAAACCTTCTTCCTCCTCTCCCAAATCGAACTCTGGAAAACTGATCCTTTTAAAAGCATTTTTTAAAAATTACCCGTGTTTCCCCAAAAATAAGACAGGGCCTTATATTAATTTTTGCTCCAAAAGACGCATGGATTATTTTCCAGTTAGGTCTTATTTTGGGAGAAATGCGGTTCTAAATGTGTGTCTGTCTGGCGGACAATCTTAACTGGGGCTTTTAGGGGGGGAGGTAGGGCTTATAGCAATAGCCAGCAATAGCACCTATATACCTTTTTATAGCCCTCTCTAAGCAGTTTACAGAGTCAGCATATTGCCCCCAACAATTTGGGTCCTCATTTTACCGACCTTGGAAGGATGGAAGGCTGAATCAACCTTGAGCCTGATGGGATTTGAACTGGCAAATTGTAGGCAGCTGGCTGCAGTAGAAGGAGCTTGCAGTACTGCACTCTAACCACTGCGCCGCAGAGGCTCATTATATTACGAGAATCCTTTAAAAAAAAACATTCTAGGGCTTATTTTCCAATTGGGTCTTATTTTTAGGGAAACGGGAAAAGCGGTGTGTTTGTGGTTCTGCCTCCAGGTGAGGCGCAACAACAGCCGCCCCGTCAACTTACCGCACACAATGCTGCCCACCACAAAGCCCTGGGCAGCCATCCGCGTGTGAATGAGGTGGATGGACATTTTGGTCTCTCCTCGGTGCTTCAGCCGGTAGATGCCATAGGCGGCCAGGGAGAAAAAGCCCGCCAGACCTGAGAAAGGCAGAGGAAGAACAAATCGGTGGGTCTGGGGTCCCCCGGGGTAAGGCCCACCTCGGGACGGGATGAGAGAGGAGGAGAATAAGGATTGTGGGGGTCCCGGGTGCTCTCTGAACTGGGTAGTTTTTCTTGCAGACCTTTCATGACCCAATTAGGTAACATCATCAGTGCTACCCTGTTTCCCCAAAAATACGACCTACCCTGAAAATAAATCCTAGCATGATTTTTACACGGGTGCCCAATATAAGCCCTACCCCCCAAAATAAGCCTTAAAGATTCTGCCCACTCCAGAGTAGACGGGTAAAAATTAAGCTAGGGTAGGGATTGGGGGATGGAGCTGCCCTACTACTTACCTTTGGACAGTTGTAACCAGGCCTCGCACACCCTGACACCTGCCTTGCCGGCCCATTTCTTCTGCAGCCGGCAAGGACGGCAAGGCTTTCCTGAAGGCCTCCGGAGCTGATCACAAAGCTCTGGATCGATCCTATTGGCTGCAGAGGCCTTCAGGAAAGCCTTGCTGGCCACAGCAGGAAGAATTCCTGAAGGCCTCTGACAGCGATGCACGCAAGTGAGGTTAGTCAGTGGATAACATCCTACTCCCTTCTACCGTGTTTCCCCGAAAATAAGACCTGGTTCCTTTTTTGGTGGCAAAAAATTATAAGACAAAAAATTATATAACACGGTAGAAGGGAGTGAGGGAGTGGGGTTTGTGGACAGAAGGTGGAAGGGGAGGAGGAAGGAGAAGAGGAGAATGACTGTGGGGTCCTTGGTACTCTCTGAGCTAGATAACATCTTCAGGGCTAGAAGGGAGTGGGCTTTTGTGGAGAGGAGGGAGGGAGGGAGGGAGAAAGACCACTAGACCTGGGAAAGGCAGAGGAAAACTTCAAGGGTTCAGGGCTCTCAGGTCCCAGGAATTAGATGAGGAAGGAAGGAATGAAGGAAGGAGGGCGGGAGGGAGGGAAGGGAGCAAGCAAGGAAAGGCAGAGGAAGAATTGTCAAGTGTTCAGTGTGTCTGTGGTCCCACTGAGAGAGGGAAGGACGAAGGAAAGAAGGAAGGGGAGGGGAAGGGAAAAGGAAAAGTGGAAGGAATGAACAACGGAAGGGAGGAAGAAAGGAAGGGAGGTGGGGGATGAAGTGAAGGGGAGGAGAGTAAGAAAGAGGGAAAGAAGGAAGAATTGTGGGGTCCTGGGTGCTCTCAGAGTTTGGCGGTTTCCTAGCAGATGTTTTAGGACCCAACTAGATAACATCATCAGTGCTGTAACTGAGTGATGTGTTCGAAGAGGAGGAGGGAGGAGACGGAAGAGGAAGGAAGAGGAGGGAGGAAAGGATTGTGGAGTCCTTGGTGCTCTCTAACTTGGGTGGTTTTCTTGCAACTGGGTAACATCACCAGCGCTACAACCGAGTGATGTGTTTTAAGAGGAGGAGAAGAATGACCCACAGACAGCCTAGGGCAGGGGTGGGCAAACTACGGCCCGCGGGCCACATCCGGCCCGTTGGTCTTTTTAATCCGGCCCGCCGAAGATTGGTACAGAATTAAGGTTTGATGTGAATGATTGAATGATTGCATTCATTTGATTTTGACTTGTAATGACAGGCATTTCGACACCAGGTGGCGGCCCGTCTGTCAAATTTTAAAAGTCAATGAGGCCCCCGAGCCAAAAAGTTTGCCCAACCCTGGCCTAGGGTGTCAAACTAGCGGCTCACAGGCCGGATGCGTCACCTGTGTGCCACACACCCCCAGCTCCACAATGCCCCCCCCCCAAAAAGCATCATGTGACATCAGCGTAACGCAACGAGTTCGAGACCTGTAGCGTACAGCTTACCAAAAACAGATTTTGTGAGTCTGATTGTCACATTTGAACCTGTAATCACATAGCCCCCTCAACCCCACCAAGGCCTTTTGAAACACAAATAACTCCATGGCTTAGGACCTAGCCTTCGCACTTATGACCAGAATCACCTTCTTGACGACACACAATCGACCATCGCAGGCTTGGCAAACTGATTCTACTTGAGTCTCAAAATGGGCCATTGGGAGATGGGGGGGGGGGGGAATTCTGGGAGGTGAGGTGGATTTGGGGGAATTTGGACCCATTGGCTCAGCTCTCGAGCAATGGTCGTAATTCCCCGAAGACGCCATTGCAGAACGGGATGGGCTCAGAGCGGCTGGCCGGCAGAAAAGAAAACTCTGAAAAGAAGCACTTACCGACGGGGACAAAGGGCATGTCCTTCGATTTGCGGAGCAATTTTGAACCCACCGTTTCATCGTAAGTTGGGAAGACTTTCTCCGAGGGGGAGGCCATGGTTGCTGCCAGCAAACAGAAACGGAGAAAAGGTTACGTCGGAGAAACTGGGGTGGGGTGGAAAAATACAGGGGGGGCCTCAACTTATGACATGGCCCGTTTAGGGACCGTTTTGAAGCAATGGGGCCACTGGTCCTCGCAAACGATGAGGGTCGTGAACGTCCTCATGGGACAGGTAAGCGGGGAAGTCCCCGGCTTATGACCGCAATGGAGCTCAAGGTTTAGGTTGGTGAGGGAGATGTTGGGGACAAGAGGTTTGCCCTAGTTAACGTTTCTCACCTACGGTTGTTCAAGTGAATCGTTGTATATGTACAGTACACACACACACACACACACATATACACAAACAGACACAAACAAACACACACATACATACTGTCAGGGTTCCGATGGATGCTGTAATTAATTCATAGACATATATACATATATACACACATATACACATACAAATACACACACTGATATTTATATACACATATTCATATGCACACACACTATACACACACATACATTATATACAAACACACACATTATATACATACACACATTATACACACACACATATACAAATACATGCATAGGTATATTAATATATTACTATATACATTTGTCCGGAGTCACCCCAGACACCAAAATGGGCAGTATATCAATTTAATAAATATAAATTTAATTAAATATAATCAAATTGGAAGGGGCCTTGGAGGTCATCTATTCCAAACTCCCCTATTCAAACAGGAGATCCTTACAGAGTGATAGAACAAGAGTTGGAAGGGACCTTGGGGGTCCTCTAGTCCAACTACCTATCAAGCAGGAGACCCTTACAGAATCATAGAATGGAGAGGACCTCAGAGGTCATCTAGCTCAACCCCCTGCTCAAGCAGGAGATCCTAACAGAATCAAGTGGGAAGACACTTTGGAGGTCATCTAGTCCAACCCCTTGCTCGAGCAGGAGACCCTTACAGAGCCATAGAATAACAAGGCAGAAGGAACCTTGGAGGTCATCTAGTCCAATATGTTGCTCTAGTAGGAGATCCTTACAGAACGATCGAAGAGGTAGAAGGGGCCTCGGAAGTCATCTAATCCAACCCCTCCCACCCAGGAGACCCCAAAAACCATTTCTGACCTGGCTAAAAAAAATGGTGAGTTGACCAAAAGCAGCCAATGCTATGAAAACAATGCACAAACTTCCTGTCTGTCAGACCCCATCCCCACCCAAAGAAAAAAATAAAAATCTATTTCTTTCCATATTATCCAGTCTGGATAATGATATTTTCCTTGTCAAAGAGATAATAACAAAAGTAATAAGGATTGATGATATTATAAGCCAAGGGGATAGTATTCTAAGGGAATCAAAAAAGGAACTGGAGAACCAGGAAGGTTCTAATGGAAGAGAGATGGGGCAAGAGTAGATATTTTAGAAACTAAAGAGAAGTAATAATAAGAGTGGAAATGAGAACTTGAATGACAGTATTCCTAAATATACTTAAATAATACAGTGATGGCATAAAAATAATATATTCAATTATGGATTAAGTAAATAATGAACGATTATCATTCAGTATGAATATGTATTATGCTAAATATAACAAACATGATAAAAAAAAATACCTTATTTGTATTAAAAATGTATGACAGGCCGACTAGGGTGATTGACATAAAAATGGAAATATCGAATAAATAATGAAAAAATCAAAAAAGTGAAATATCAAATAATGGATTATAAACTGAACAAGCAAATCATGGGAGATTTTAATTTAACATACATATTAGAATTATGTAAGCTTGCTAAATGTAATAAATATGATTAATAATAGTCTATTTGTATTAAAAGGTATGATACTTAGAATAGAGGCTTGGCACAAAAATGACACATTGAAATACTGAATAACCAAATAATGAAAGATTATGAGTTGAACAAGCAAATAATGGAAGATTTCAACTGAACAAAAATGTTTACATTATTATAATTAAGTAAGTTTGCTAAATGTAATAAATATGATTACTAATAGTCTATTTGCATTAAAAGGTATGATACTTAGACTAGGGAGTTTGGCATAAAAATGAGACATTGCAATACTGACTAGCTAAAAAAAATGAAAGATTATAATTTAACAATATGTGTATGATTGCTAGAATTATATAAGCGTGTTAAAGGGAACAAATATGATTAATACTATTTTATTTGTAGCAACATATATGACCCTCTGGTGCCACACTGTTCATGCATTGATATTTTTGTAAAAAATAAAACATAAGACTTTAATGATGATGATATGATGATGATGTATTTCCTGGTCTCAAATTTGTGACTTTATTTCCCGGCAACATTTCTGGCCCACAATTTCATCAGATTCTCTCCCAGGCGGTTATGAGCAAAAGGGCCGTTGCATCACTGTGTAAAAAATGTTCCAGGAAATCCCTCATGTTTATGGCTCATGTGATTTTTCACCTCTTTTGCAAAGTGATTTTGCAAACTTTTGAAAAAAAAAAAAATCACCTTGCCAACATCCTTGGCCTGATTCCATTTTTTTCCCCATTCAAAATCCCAACTCAGCAATTCCTTGGAAAGGAAAAAGACAAGGAATTTTTTTATTTTTTTTTTAAAAGGACTTTAATTGAACTAAGCTAGAAATAAAGAGAAATTTTCCAAACGAGGATGATTAACCGGTGGAATGGCTTGCCACAAGGACATGTGGGTTTTCCAACACGGTAGGAAGCTTTTATAAGGAAAGACCGGGCAGCCAATTTGTCTGAAAGAGTAGAGGTGGGGCAGGGGTTGGACTAGATGACCTCCAAGGTCACCTCCAACTTTCTGATTCTGTAAGGATGTTCTGTTTGAGCAGAGGATTGAACTAGATGACCTCCAAGGTCCTTTCCAACTCTTGTTATTCCATGATTCTGTAAGGCTCTCCGGCTCGAGCAGGGGGCTGGACTAGATGACCTCTTCCATCTCTATTAATCTGTAAGGCTCTCCTGCTTGAGCAGTGGGCTGGACTAGATGACTCCCAAAGTCCCTTCCAACCCCGTTATTCTGAAGCACTCAGCTATTTGGGTGTCGATTTCAGGAAATCCTCCTCTTATGATCACAACTGACATCCAATTTCTATCCCTAAGTGAGGCAGCTGTGTAAGTGGATTTTGCCCCGTTTTATGACTTTTCCCGGCCCCGGTGTTCAGGGGATCGCTGCTGTTGTTCAATAAGCCCCGGGGAGGCCTCAATATATGGCTGCCGTGGAGCCCTGACTGTGCAGTGACTTTTGGTCTTACTGTACGACTTTCCCGGTCGCAGTCATTTCAGGAAAATGTCCTGCCATCGTTAAGTGAGCAACCCAGGGCCGTTGTCACTCCAAACGGTCACTAAATGAACCATCGTAAGTCGAGGACTACCCGTACAAGAAGTGGCCTTCCAGACCCCGAAAATCCATCTAGGCTTCGCTAGGCCCAAACTGGACGAAAAGGAGATAGAATGTTCCAGCACCGAAAAGTTTTGTTTCGAAAAATCACAACTTACCTCTTCACAATGGGGGGGGGGGGGGGGGGAAGAAGGGTGGAAGCCTTGTGTTTCCAGCAGATTGACAGCTGTCAATATCCAGAAAGTGATTTGCAATTGCACCTTGCCGTATTTTGCAAGGCAATGAATAATGCCTTCAATTGTAATTGTAATATAATTTGACCAGAGTGGCCTTATCAGTTTAGAAGGGTGGCATATATATCATTGTATTGATTAAATTTAATTTACACACAAACACAATATAATTTAAATTTATACAAATATGTATACATATACATATTACATATACATGCACTCAAATACAAATACAGACACACGTTTAAATTTATACATTTATAAATGTATACTTACACACACACATGTACTGATTTATTAAATTTTAATTTTGTATATATAATGTACCAGTTTATGAAATATTATACATATAATATATTGATCTATTAATTATATACAGAATATATTGACCTGGTAAATTATAGTGTATTGATTTATGATTAATTATAGTGTATTGATGACTTATGAAATTTAATATAGATATAATTTAATATAGATATAATGGACTGATTTCTTAAATTTATATAATGTATTGATTTACTAAACTTCAGTTATATATACAATGCATTGATCTATGAAATTTAATATACATGTATTGAACTATGAAATTTAAATTATACATGTATTGAACTATGAAATTTCACTTTTACATATATTGAACTTAGGAAATTTAAATTATATATATATAAAATATATTAATCTAGTAAATTATATAGTGTATTGATTTATGAAATTTAAAATAATAATGTACTGATTTCTTAAATTTAAGTTTTATCCATATCATGTATTGATTTATTAAATTTCAATTATATGTATAATGTACTGATCTATGAAATTTCAATTGTACATATAATGGGTACAATTATATTTATATTCAATCTCCTATAGATGTATAATGTATTGATCTATTAAAGTATACATCCTGTATCATTTTATTAAATGTAAATTATATATACACATGCCTTCTTAGAGCTGAAGCGACTCTGGAAAGCTTAGAGGAAATATATTCTTTTGATTATATATATTTTTGTTTATATAAAATACTATCTATCTATCTTTATCATATTTTATATAATCAAATGAACTAAAATTACGATTTTCTTTAGGAAATTACACCACCCATCTCATTTAAAGTAACTCTAAATTTTATATATTATATATTCACATATATTATACACACACACACACACACATTTTATATATATATAAAATTATTAAACAACCCTATCCATATAATCCAATCTAATCTAATCTATTATAATATTATATGATAAAAAATGGCATTAACAGAATATACAAGCCCAGGATCGCACAAGGGGGAGGGGGGAAGGTAACCCTAACCCGTGGACATGCGGCCGGGGATGATGGGCATCGTATGCTCCCCGCGGCGGCAAGGTTGGGGGTGATGGGGAAGGTCAGTCCACTTTTCCCTCAGGCCACCGGGGAACAGCGGGAGAGCTCCCCTCCAGGCCACCGGGCTCACCTCAGAATATCTCCGATCTTCCGGTCTCACTCGCCGGCCGGCTTCTAATCGAGGATTAGGTGAGTCGAAGGCCTGGAGTCTTTCACCGCCCCGGAAAAATGACGCACTTCCGCCCTTTTCGGGAAGTGTCTCGCGTTCGTCCTTGAGGGCCTTTGAAGGTTGCCAACTTTCCCAAGAAAGCCTCCGGTCTTTCGCCGCCCCGCCTCCTTAACGTCACAGCCGCTGCTTGCCCAATCGGAGGGCCTCTTTCGCTGCCATGGTGACGCGGTTGCCAAAATGGAATGTGAGGAGAGTTGAGGCCCTGATTTTTTTTTTCCTGCGCTTTGTTGTTGGGTATTTGGTTTGTTTTCCCGCGCTTTTTTTTTGTGTGTGGCGGGTTCACACGACGCGGAATCGAGAGTTCGTTGACCCGAGTTCTCCCGCCACCTTTGGACCCGGGCAAAAAGTGGGGGGAAAAAACTCGGAGGGAGGACGGGAATTCAGCCTCCTTCGTGTTTGTGGAGGGGACTTGGTTGTGTGGACGGGACGTTTGTGCTTAATGCGTGTAGTAAGTAGACCCAAAAACAGGTTTAGGGCCCGTTGCTGCATTTGTGAATGCCTCAGAAGCAGGAAGAAAAAAATTGACTAGAGGAAAAACAATCCTCTTATTTATTTTTAATTTCTTTATTTAAAACCTTTCTAGGGCCTGTGAGGCAAGTGTACAAGCTCCCTCTTGACACCTGGATTCACTTAACGACGACCCCAGAAAGAAAAGATCTGGTCATGGATGACCCACTTAATGACTGTCATGACATACAACTGGGTTAAATGATCGTCATAAATTGAGGACTGCCTTGGTATCTTTGTGGGGGGAGAAATCCTGACTTGCAGGGTGAAATCCAAATAGAGGCAGTCCTCGACTTACAACCATTAATTTAGCGACCATTCAAAGTGACGGCGCTGAAAAAAGTGGCTTGGGATCGTATTTCACACTTAATGACGGTTGGATCATTCCCTGTGGTTGACTGATTCATATTTATGATGGTCGCAGTGTCCTGGGGATCCCCTTTTGGCGACCTTCTGACAAGCAAAATCAATGGGGAAACTGAATTTACTTAATGAATGTGGGACTCACTTAACAACCGCAGGGATTCACTTAATGACAGTGGCAAGAAAGATGGACAAATGGGGCGAAACCCACTGAACAAATGTCAAATTTCTAACCTTTATTGTCAATGCATAACGTGTACAATGAGATTGGCTGAGCCCATGTCTCGCTTAGCAATGGATGTTTGGGACTCAGTTGTGGTCGTAAGTCAAGAACTACCTTCTGACGGTGTGCTGTTGCTTTCTCCTGGACAGGCAGTCCTCGACTTAATGAAAATCATTCAGACCAGAGCCCTGGGGTCATATAAATTCAGATTAACAGACTTGGAAGAGATCTTGTAGGTCTAGTCCAACCCCCATTTCCGATCTTCTGACCACTCCTTGGCTTACGGCCACAGTTGAGCCCCCAAATGTCCGTTGCTAAGCAAGATGTTTGCAAAGGGAGCTTTGTCCTGCTTTATGACTTTCTTGCCACATTTTGGAAGGGAATCGCGGCCGTTGTTCAGTGAGTCACATGGTCGTTAAGTGAATCTGGCTTCCTGCAGGTCGGAAGGTCGCCAAAGGGGGATCACATGACCCGCCGGGGACATCGCAACCTGTCATATATATGAATCAGTTTCTGAGCGTCTGAAATTTGATCATGTCACCATGGGGATGCTTGTGTGAGGAATGGTCATAAATCAGAGGCGTTGACACTTGTCACTAAAATGACCTGTTGTAGATTGAGGACTTACTGTAAAATCAATGGGGAAACCAGATTCACTTAAACAACTCTGTTACCAAGTTCAGAGAGGGGACCAGGTGGGGCAAAATTCATTTAACAACTGTCTGTCTTAGCAACAGAAATTTTGGGCTCAATTGTGGTCTTCCGTTTAGGATTACTTCAATCAATCAAAAGAGAGCTGGAAGGGACCTTGGAGGTCATCCAGTCCAACCCCCTGCTCAAGCAGGAGACCTTGGAGGTCATCCAGTCCAACCCCCTGCTCAAGCAGGAGACCTTGGAGGTCATCCAGTCCAACCCCCTGCTCAAGCAAGTGACCCTTACAGAATAACAGAGTTGGAAGGGACCTTGGAGGTCATCTAGTCCAACACCTGCTCTAGCAAGAGACCTGTATAGAATTATAGAATGACAAGAGTTGGAAGGGACCTTGGAGGTCATCTAGTCCAAACCCCTGCTCAAGCAGAAGATTCTATATACTATTTCAGACAGATGGATAACCAGTCTCTTCTTCGATACACGCACACACACAGTGATGGAGAACAAATAAATAGAAATATTTGGGAGACGTCTGGTGGGACTTATCAGCATCTTGCTGCCGATTAATTTAGAAATGGCGGAGGATCCTGGTTAAGACAAACTGGAAGCTGGATGAAGGTTAAAGGAAGTGGGGTTT